GGCAATGGCTCCCTAACATCAGGAATGACAGCCATCAGCAGGCACCACAGTCAGTGCAGAGAGGGTCGACATTTTAGTACAAGTTCTGTTTTCCCACATCCTGGGCATGGTGGCTGAGGCTGAATCCTCAGTGCTCAAAGAACAAGAGAAGACAATTCTGTCCAACAGCAGCCAGCCCGCTCACTGAGTTCACACATAGTCCAGAATTTCTGTCTCCATTTCATTTTCACTCCCATCAGAAGGCTTGAAGTCCTCTTCCTCCTCCTCCTCCTCATCCTCGTCCTCGCCAGACTCATATGCCAGCTGCTCTTTGCCATCTTCACTGCTTGTTTTACTTGAGAAAAGAGCTTAATTGGGGAAAAAAGAAAGAAAGACAATGTGATGCCTCTCTCAGTGAAACCTGGGGGCATTTACAGTAGAGTTCATAAAACAAGTGAGAGGACGGCAGAAGCCACAGGGGCACAGCTAATGTTGCACACCTTAATAGAATTTAATCAAGCCCAAAGCAATCTGTTTTCATACTCCAGCTAGCAGAACAGCAGCAGATCTGTAGTGCTGTGCCTCCTCTCCTAGCCGATTCTCACCTAATTCACTGGGATACTGCTTTGGCCCAGCATCATGCAAAAATAATTTCCTCACTTCTTGTTCCAATTAGTAACAGCAATAAAAAGTAAAATGACACCAACAGATACATCAGTAAGAATAAGATCTTCATTATCACTGGGCAAAAACATTCAAACTCTGAAGGCCATGATAACTGGGAAGATTAAACAGAAAACCTTTACTCCCATCCATTCCTAATCCCAACCCACGTTCATACTGCAGGACAACAGCTTCAGCTCACACACTGTAATGAGCTAGAACACAAAAAATACCAGATGTAGCACAAGGGAGGAGGCAAATACAGGAACGCTACTGCCACAGTGCTGACTGCAACATCCTTATTCAGCCCACAACATCTCAACACCAACAGGAAGGTAGTAATACACTGCAGTCGTAGGCAGTAAGGTAGCAATACACTTTGATGCTCAGAAGCATCCTTACCAGGTCTTGTGGATCTGATTATCTGCTTTATCATCAGAGACATGGTATCTCGCAGATCATCACTGGTCTTTGGAAGGCACCATCCATCCCGCTCTGTGCATTCTGACTCTGTGCCATCATTCCGACGGATGATTTTCTGTAGGCTAAAAAGCAGCAAAAGGGAAGGAAATTACATTCAGATGTAGGCTTCAAATGAGACAGACTATGGCTTACTTCTATTTTACTTCATTGAGTTGGACTAGCATATTTGGTTATTCACGTAATTGTCATATGGGAAAGGAAGTTCATATGTGAAAAGTCTTCTATTTTTATTCAGAAGCTAAACACCTCTTGAGTTTCTGGTCAAGGAGAGAGAGGGGAATGGACTGAATATAAACAACAGGCTTTGAAAGCTAGCTCTAACAGAAGACTCAGCTGCCAGTGCGATACCTTTCCACATTCAAGTCACAGAGCTGGTAGAACATCTGCCGATAAGGGGGTAAGGCTCCTTCTCGAAAAATGTAGATGGATTCCTAAGAGGAGGAAAGAATAAAAGGTTTCATGTGCATTTTATGGTGTAATAGGACAACTCTGGCATAACTGAAAAGTACTTCTGATGGGCTGATTCAAGAACAAGGCATTTCCAACACAAATCAGTTCCAAGGCATAGGTCTGCATATGGCAAAAGATAAAGCTGAATGAGGAATGCAGCGAAATTTCACTGCAGCCATAGTCACAACAGCACAGTTGTGCAGAGAACACACTTCATCTCTTCAAACTGCAGCTCTGTCTGCAGCCTGTTACTGCATAACAGTGGATAATGGGTTTCATTCTAGCAAAAAGGGAAGAATAAAAAATTCCTGGTTATTTATTTTGCCCTGCTGGATTTTGCAGGATGACCTGATAAACAAATGGTGATTTTTATGCACATCGCTGCCCATAAAGTTACAATTTTATCAATTGAAACAAAAACGCTCATCACATCTAAGACTAGGGCTGAGAGTACCAATCCCATCTTGCAGCATGTAAGAAATACATGCAGTGCACAGCAGGTGAAGTTCTGTACTGACATGCGCAACCAGCAGCTTCCCAGGTAAACCTGAGGACATCAACTCACTCACAACTGTCCCTTTAACGACTGACAAAACAGGAAATGCCTTTTTTTCACTAAGCTATTTCAAGATTCTGGTAAAAGAGAGTAATGCTTACCTTCAGTTTATACCTGCTGGAGGCAGGCTTTTTTGCACCGGATGCACCGGACGTACCAAGCCCCTGTTTCAGATCATGTACACTGACTGTATGACTTACTGAAAGACAAAAAAAAGAGAGTCCTAATTACAGACATCTTTTGCTCTGTGGCATTGTACTGTCACTTCTCTACATTGATTCCACTTTGCTGGTCAGCAAAAACCAGACCAACCCAGCAACTGAGCATGTGTTGCTCATTCTTCAGAGACATTACTGGACAGTCACAGGAAAGATGGTGAGTTTGGCGGCTTTTTCCACAGCGCATTTGTTCATAATTTTAACCTTTTCTACTCTCCCTTGATGAAGAGAACAACTCTCCCCTTAACCCTGCACCATCACTGAACAGAAGGGAATGCTGAATTCCCACACCGTTGCTTGCAGAACTCCCTTCTGTCTGCTAACAGATACTGTGGCTCAGCCCGACATGCATCCAGGACTCACAACACTTCCCAGCAGGAGAATATTCTACTAGCTTTAACAGCAGCACTATATTACAACCAGAAATATAGCTCCAATTTTGGCTCAGCTGAAACATAGGAAGATCCTTCACTACGTGTGACTAGGATGGGGTAAACAAAGAAACAGAAGAGCCAGACAGCCCTTCTGCTGGCACAGCATACCTGGCTTCTTCACAGTGATGGGCAGACTGTAGTTATACGTGCTGCGTTTTGCTTTCACGGGCATATCATTCGGGGCGTAACCTAGAGGTGAAAAAGGAAAACCAGTAATGAACTGAGGGCAAGCACCCTGCAGAACATCCCTAGCTCCGTAACAGAAGTGCTGGGCTGGTGTGTGAAAGGCTGGGTGGTTTGGGGGATATGCCGACTTCAGCAAGGTGGGGAGAGGAGACCTATCAGGTCAACAAAACCCTTTAACCCGGAAAGAGGGGGAGATGTGATCTGATGGTAATGACTGGATGCCAGCTCTGTCATGGACTTATTAGATGGCCTCAGAAAGTCCTTTCCCTCAACTTGCCCTCTGCAAAATCAGAGCAGGGGAACCCTATGTCCCAAAGTCTGAGACCTAGCGTCGAGCACAAGATGTAGAGGTCCTTGAGGAAAAGCTACCATGTAAGCAACAGAATCTGCTGCTCAGTGCCTCCCCTGAGCGAGAGGGAAGATGGTCTGCAATATCCACTTGGGCTTTAAAAACACGGAGGAGGAAAGTCAGCCAGGTGTCCATTGGGTTTGGAATGTGCCAAATGAGGAAAGACATACTGCATACTATGAAATAAAGTATTAAAGGAGTTTACAGAAGAACTACTGTAAGCAATGAACTTAAAAGGTGCCACCTTCATTAGAGCAGAAATATGGCAAAAGAGTTTGAAAATCAAGTAAAAAGAAAAGTACTACCACGATTAACCAGAAAGCAGAGAGAGCATCTCTGTGGTTTGGGCCCTTTTACCATATTTCATTCCACAGCGAATTCGGAAGTCCAGTACTTGATAAATCTTTGCTTCAGGGTGTTTTCTGGGGTCATACCCAAACCTAACCCATAAGCTTCTCCAAGGACCTGTTAACTGCATAAACACACATGGAGGAAGACGGTTACAAAAAAAATAGTACAGTGTTACAGAGGTTCTTCAATACAGCGTTGCAGAGCTTCTTAGAAAATTCTCATATTTTCCCTCGTTGCCCAAAAAATATTTCTTTTAACAGCTTCTTCCTTACTTGCCACACCAGTATTTATATACTGAAACCTGGGCAATCAATGCATCAAAGCCCAAATATTTGCGTGCTTTTACAAACTAACTTGCAAGGTCACAATAAAGCGTTTGTTTGGAAAAATTCTCCTATCGTTGCCAGATGGACAGTCAATTTGACTGTCTGACTGAACTGCAAAGCCGATTAGAACCGAGGGAGTGAGCAGTTACTGAATCCTCCATGGTTTTAACTTCCATTCAAAAGCAAGGCTTTCCTTCCCTCTTTCTCTTTACATAACGTTAAGCTCAAGTACTTAGCGGTGGGACCTCAGAAACTGCAAAGAACCAGGAACACCCAGCTGATGCTCCCTTGCTCTGCCTCCTAGCAGACTCAGACAGGCACAAGGGCAGATGTACAGGCTTACCATGTAATAGGCCAAATACGGCAACAGAAGTTTCAGCTTGTCTGGATGGACACTGATATTGGCTTTTACTGCATTCCGAGACCAGACAGGACGGACTTCAAAGAGCTAAAATAATACAGAAACAACACAGAAACAGTAGAAAGTGGGTTACTAATGGCAGTTCAGCTTTCTAAGTGGACTTTGTCTTGTATCGGGGCCTTTGGGCCTTAGTATGAGCTATCAGAAAGGCAACGTAAGAACTAGTGACACAAAAAGGAACTTAACATGAGTTGGCTACAAGGACAGATTCAAATCTTGACTTGCGTAACTGAACTGTAGACAGCAGTGTCAGTGGTGTCTATTGATACTTGCTGTATCAGTCAGTTACAATCACCACAAATTTTTGGGGAAGTCAGAGAAAATGGCTGCATGCAGTTTTTTCCTACACAGCATGCTGCAGTATAGTGCTCAAGTCAGAAATAAGGCACGTACCTTCCTCAGCTCTTCCTCCACCTTTTTATCCACAGGATTGGTGCACACTTTCTTCCAGGTCTGTACGGCAGCATCCAGGGGTTTAGTTGGGATTTCTTCATCATCAAAGTTCACAAAGATAGCGTTGTGCGGGCGACGGGCCCTGCTGAGGCCAATCAGGTTCTCACCAGACACCTGGGGATTGTTGTATCCCTCCCTAGAAAGAGGGAAAGGATCGGGTTTGCTTTCTGCCTGTGGCACACAGGGACTCAGGGCCTTCACAAGAAAATGCAAAAATAGAAGTTTAGTGCGGGCGACGGGCCCTGCTGAGGCCAATCAGGTTCTCACCAGACACCTGGGGATTGTTGTATCCCTCCCTAGAAAGAGGGAAAGGATCGGGTTTGCTTTCTGCCTGTGGCACACAGGGACTCAGGGCCTTCACAAGAAAATGCAAAAATAGAAGTTTACAGATTTGATGTCAGAAGAGAAGGGACTCAGCCATGTGAGCAATGGGTTGGTTTACCTTTGGCCCCACCTCCCTAGGGATTTTAGAATCACATGCTGGTACCATAAAAGACTCTTGTGACACCACTGAGGAAAGAAAATTTTAAATTAAAAAAAAAAACGCTGCAAAACTACATACAGTTGCCTGATGACAAAGGTCCCCTGTACTGACAGAAAACCCTCAGGCAGTTGGCTACCGATTTGTACAAAATGCATTTGCAGCACAAAAGGCTTCACCCTCTGCATTTGCTCTAATTACTGCAGCTCAGCAAGGCACAGGGACAAGGCAAGATAGAAATGTAGTTAATAATTCAATCTAGAAATAAGTATTTTTTTCTTTCTTTAAAAAAAGTGCCAATGAAGGGCTACAGTGAGAAAATGAAAGACCCACCCGGGGGCCAGGAGGGAACAGGTCCAGCGAGCGCGGTCACAGGAACATATGGCATCGACTCCTGCACGCTCCCCCCTCCGCTCCAGCCCCCTGGAAGCAGGCAGAAAGCCAGGCTCACTGCGTCCCGCACTGCGTGTAGCGTGCTGGGGCAGGCAGTCATCTTCAGCAGATCACCAGGTCCCCTCACCTCAAGAGGGCTCAAGAGTCCTCAAGAGGACTTCTGCTGAGGTTTCTGCTGCCAGGCAGTTTCTCAAGCGTGCCTGCCTC